ATCACTGTGTCTGTCACGCGTCTCTGTTCCCCTTTCGGGCTCTGTCTTTACATTTATTTTGAAAGATGAAGCTCGTGATTATGGTAAGGGGCGTTACATTTACGACGTGTGCTTGTGGTGTTCGGCCAATCACAATGCACTGGGTCAGCTGGCCAATCAGAGCAGACTGCACTTGTCAAAGGAGGGAGCTTAGTTGAAAACGACGCGTTTGAGAGAGGCGGGGCATAGAGGACCTACAATAATGTACAGTATTTGAAAAATAATGTGTTTTTTGAACATTAAAGCATGTCAACATTCTGTTACACCAAATACACTAAATAATGATCTTTAAAATAGCATCATATGACCCCTTTAAATGCTATTTCCTTGTTCATCATTTAAAATTACAGACAACTTTCACATCTTTGAAGTGGTTTGCATACTAATTATCTACTGGACATGTGATGCCTAAATGTGCATCTTAGCTGTTGAAATCTAATAGTTTGTCTAAAATGTTGCTGAGATGTAACAAAGTGAGGCAAGCCAAACAGAAGGAAGTCTTTCCGTTGAGTGCGTCTGTCATCATACGGACTTCTAGTCTGTTTAAAGGGGTCATATGATGTTGCTAAAAAGAACATTATTTTGTGTATTTGGTGTAATGAAATGTGTTTATGCGGTTTAAGGTTCAAAAAACACATTATTTTCCACATACTGTACATTATTGTTTCTCCTCTATGCCCTGCCTTTCTGAAACGCGTCGATTTTTACAAAACTCATCGGTCTGAAAAACGAGGTGTGCTCTGATTGGCCAGCTATCCAATGCGTTATGATTGGCATATATTTTAAAATGATTTAATATACATGATTGAATATACAATATGATTAATAATAATAATAAGTATTATTATTATTAATGACCTCATATATATATATATATATATATATATATATATATACACACACATACACATACATACACACACACAAAGTTGTTTAATCTCTGTTTCATTGTTAAGATACATATTTCTCACATGAGAATATATGGTTGTTATTTATGTATATTCATTAAAGGGGCTGAATATATTTGGGGAGTGGAAAATAACTTTTTTGTTTGTTTAAAAGACATTTCATGATGAATTGATCATTAAATTGATCCATTAAAAACATTTAAAGGCTCGTTTTAGTCTTTAAACTAAAATGAAAAAAAAAAAAGAAGCAAATTACAAGTCACGTGGTACCTAAATTCATGACCAACTAAGTCACAGAGAACTGTTTTTGACGTGTGCTCATCCAAATAGGTCAGCTGACGAGAAGCAATGAGTCACTCGGTATAAGATTGCCAATATATATTAAGAGGCATCATTTGAATAACAATTTGCCCTCTAAATAATAACACACCCTCTCAACATGGTATAATGAATACTTGCAGCTTGGAAGACCCAACGGAAGGTCAGGTGAACACATTCGAGCAAACATTACACCTCTAAGCAATGCCCTATTAAATACAGTATAATTCATGTGTCAAGATGGTGGAGAGCTATTCAAGGTTAGAGTTTCATAGCGAAGAAACCAAGGAATTCCCCTGCAAAAAATATGTCCTTTGCTTATTCTCACAGCTGAGTATATTGGGGAGAGGTAATCATTCTCTATTAAAATCAAGTGTAGGGGTCATAAATGCTGGATGTCAGCTTTACCAAAGCAACAGCAACAGGACTATCAGGAGAAAATGCATGTACCATAAATCTCTTGGGCAATGGACTTTAAGTCAATGAGCAGCAAACACTGAATTACTTCATTTCCTGTTCTACAAGGTTACAGTTCGAACAACAATTAAAAATAGATATAATGAATATATAGGAAAAAGAGACAGATGGCAGTGTGAATTTCTAAAACAATACCAAAACTTGTTTTAAAAATAATATTTAATTAAGAAATAAATATATAAATAAATAATTACATCCTATATTTTGACCTAGCATTGCCCTCCCTCTGGGAAATTCTGACAAGATTGTTTGCCAATTCTTTCTGCATTTTTTGCTATTTCAGGAAATGTTTAACATTGTTGCCTTATGACCAAAGTTTGAGCTCAAAGTAGTACACCTTTTCCTAGCCATGATTAAGTCTGCGTACTTTGATAACATCTTAAAGTCCACAACAGATAATTCTATATCGCTCAAAGCAACAGACATTGTTCTGGTTATATTTAGCCTGCAATCCATGTGATGTCAGAAGTAATAAGGCAGAAACAGAGGTAAAAAGTGCCCTCCATTGTCCTGAAGGTGAAATCATTAAAGTTGGTTAAATGGCTAAAGAACACTAGGCTGAAATCGTGTGTGTGATTGTCCTGGACTCTACTGATGTGGCAGTATTTTTAGATGTCAGCAGGAAACTAGTAACAAGGCTATAATGCTAGATTAATGCAAGAGCAAGCAGGTCCACTGGGGCTGCACACTTCCTCCTCTGACCAGCGTCTCTAGGGTGTTCAGTAAGACAGGAAAGACAGAGACACACAAAAGACCTCTCAACTACTTCTGAGTTTCAGTCTATAGTCTGCTCGTAAGAATGCTATATGTACCTTGAGATTATCTTGTTGAATGATGAAACTTAATCTAGGCTATTGAACTCTGGTTTTTGTAGCCTGCAGATATAGAAATCTGAGGCTGGAGGAAGGACAGTAAGTGAATAGGCCTAATTCTGAGAAACAAAATATTGAAAAGGGCGTCATCATTCTCTGCAACAACTCAGGTCAAGTGTCATGGTGTAAAAACTCACCAACTTTAGCTAAAAAAAAAAAAAGAGGGAAGCATGCCATGAGAAACCCGCTGACCTTTACGTAAAGATGATATATTTTACATGATGTTTTCATGCAAGACACAAACTGTAAAATGGAAAATAAATGCAATATTTGAAAGAAAAACAGAGATGTCCTAATGCAATTTTAAAGGGGTCATATGATGCGATTTCAATTTTTCCTTTCTCTTTGGAGTGTTACAAGCTCTTGGTGCATAAATAAGATCTGTAAAGTTGCAAAGACTAAAGTCTCAAATCCAAAGAGATATTCTTTATAAAAGTTAAGAGTCAGCCACGCCTACCTAAAACGGCTCGTTCTAACACACCCCCACGTCTACGTCACTGTGTGGGAAGATTTACATAACGCCGCCCAAATGTTCACGCAAAGAAAGTAGGCGTAACTTTTTTTCTCTCGCTGTAGTATTGTTGTTGCCGCCGCCATGTCGTATAAGCTTTCATAAGGTACGTAGACTTGTGAATTATAAATCATAGCAGAAACTCGTTAACTCATTTCACTAGATGTCCAGTTTTGTTGTTCAGTAATCTCCATAATGTCGTCCTTTTATAATAGAATGTGTACCCCATGGTTAAAAAATACCTATACGCCTATAATAAAATACCAATATAAAATTATAAAAAGTATATATCGTCTTTCTAAATCATTCCCAAACATAAGATTGTTGTTTAGGCCATACATACCACGTAATATTAGAATAAGCACCTCTTAGTTTCAAAATACTTACAGTATAAATGATTTGTAATTTTACAGGTTGTTACCCCTTTATTCCCCAAACTTCGCATATTATTCCCTTATACCTACACGGAGGTACTGAATAGGTACACTATAATTACAAAAAAGTTACGCTGTAACTTCAGTTTACTTACGCAGTTCTTTGCAGGTTGCATATCTGGTTGTTACCCCCTTATTACCCAAACGTAACACATTGTTCCATTATACCTACATGTTCGTTCTTTATAGGTACACTATAATTACAGAAACGTACACCGTAAATTCAGTATACTTACGTAGTTCTTTGCGGGTTGTAATCTAAAGCGTTACCAAATAATGTTATTTTTAGCAACATCACATAACCCCTTTAACGGTTATGTTTGATGGTAACATACATTTCTCAATTATGTTTCATTTTACTATCAACTTTATCTCTGAAGTCTTTCCTAACATTCCTCATTTGAAACAAATAGATTCAAATGAGAGATATCTTGATCTTAGATTGAGAAATGTCCATATTTCATATTCAAATCTCTGACACACTGGTATCTTAGAAAATCTAGCCCAGTTTGAGACATTTTTTAGATCCCGTCTGAAACTCTACAGGAGACATTAAATTATTAGTCTTTTTTTTTTTTTTTTTTAAAGCGACGAATCCAAGAAGCAGGAGACTTAAGCAAAATACATTTGAATTCAGTTTCATCTCTTTGCGATGGAGGAGAAACGATCGAGATTTTAAGGAGATCTCATTAGTGATTTCTCTTTCCTATGGGATTATATAAAATTCTATTTTGGTAGCTGGAAGTTTCCA